TATTTTTTTAAAAGTACGTTTTCTTTCATTACTTCATTTTTACAAATTTTATGTTGAATTTTTTTTGTAAATAATAGACGTTAAGACAAAAGGCTAAGGAGGGAGAGGGAGATAAAGAGGGAGAAGGAGGAGAAGAAGGAGAAGAAGGAGAAGAAGGAGGAGAAGGAGAAGAAGGAGAAGAAGGAGGAGAGGAAAGAAAGAGAAGGAGAATAAAGGAGAAAGGAGAAGGAGAATAAGGAGAAAAGAAGAAGGAAAGAAGGAAAAGAAGGAAAAGAAGAAGAGAAGAGGAGAGAAAAGGAGAAGAAGGAGGAGGAAAGAAGGAGGAGGAGAGAAGGAGAAGAAGGAGAAGGAGAAGAAGGAAAAGAAGGAAAGAAGGAAAAGAAGAAGGAAGAGAAGGAGAAGAAAGAGAAGAAGGAGAAGAAGGAGAAGAGATGGAGATGGAGATGGAGATGGAGATGGAGATGGAGATGGAGATGGAGATGATGGAGATGGAGATGGGATGGAGATGGAGATGGAGATGGAGATGGAGATGGAGATGGAGAGAGAGAGAGAGAGAGAGAGAGAGAGAGAGAGAGAGAGAGAGAGAGAGAGAGAGAGAGAGAGAGAGAGAGAGAGAGAGAAAGAAAGAGGGGGGGGAGAGAGAAAAAGAAAGAGAGCGAGAGTTAGAAAGTTAATAAAAGACAACAAGAAAGACAAAGGAACAGTGAAAGAAATAAAAAAAATCCTTTTCAAACATCAATACTAAATGCTTTAAAAAAAAACGAGTAAAATATATTCCCACTTGTGCGTTTACTGCGTGTGGAAAATGATGATATGAATATCAAATTAACGCCCAAGATTTGTACAAGAAAGTGACATTTAAGACCAAGTGGAAATGGTATATTTAGCTTTGTGAATGAAATTTTACTCTTCGCTGAAACTTTGTACAAGAAAATATAATTAACCAACGATTTGGAATAGGATTTACACCTACGTGGATAAAATATATATATGTTTACCTTCCCACAGTTTGAAAAAGCCAGAAGCTGATCGTGGTTATAATTATTATCATGATTAAATACTTCTTTCCCTCGTATATGAATGGTGGGAGAGGAAATTGCATTCCTCGCTCATGATGGATAATCTTGTTTTGATTTATTGTTTTCCCGGAAATCCGATTAAGGATATTAAGGCGATGCTCATAGCAGGCCGTATTCTGTGATTATGGAAGGGATGGTGAATGTAAATTGATAATAAGGATGATGGTGATGGTAATAGTGATGATAATTATGTTTGTGATGGTGCTTATGCTGACGATAATGATGATGATAGTAGTGGCAATGTTGATTTTAATGATAATGTTAAATATGATGAAAATGATGACGATAAAGATGATAATAAAGATGATAAAGATGATGATAATTTTGATAATGGAAATGATAATGATGCTGCTGGTGGCATTAAAGATAATAAAATAATGATAACATTAATCATACAGCAGTAGCAAAAGTAATAACAACAAAGATTTATATTTATCATCACCCTCCCTCAACCTGATCCTCCCGCCGGCGCCATCTTGCTTTTCGAGAAGGAAGTTCGGAAAACTTATTTCCTCTTATTCCCTTGTTACGATTCGACTTTATTATCTCGTTCTTTGTCTGCTGCGTCTACTTCGTCTCCATAATCAGTGGCGGGACTCCGGACTCTGCTGTCATAGGTGGAAAAGCTCGGTTTGGCATAATGTCAAAGAGTGCCGTTTGGCGCGTGGCTGACCGGGAGACAAATGAACATCGGGTTTTGGCGGGGCAGGGGCGGGGCTTCTGTTGCGTTGGGTTATGCATTTGTTTATTTATTTATTTATTTATTTATTAGGGTTGGAATGTGTTTTTATTATTATTTATTGTCTATTTTATTTATTTTTCAAATTGTGGAACCATCATCGTCATCTTTCACCGTTATCACATTCATTATCATCTCATTATCAAACATTAACTATACCGACAGCGAAAACATTACAAAAATACAAACAAACAACCAAGCAAACAAAAACAAACAAACAAAAAAGAAAGTATTAATGTCAACTTCATTTTTTGACAGATTGTACCCTGATGCGAACATAACACGGATGTCAAGATGGGTCAATTTCCCGGACCAGTATTCAAGGTGAGTTTGGGGGTGAGTGAATGAATGATGATTTACTCATCCATCTACCTGTTTATTCATCAATCTATTTATTCATCTATATATCTATATATCTCTATATATTCTTATATATCTTTATTCATCTCTTTTATCTATCTATCCATCTCTCTAATACTTCATCTATATATCTATTTAGTATTTTTTTTTTCTTATTTATATTTATTCAGTTCCCTCTTCCTGTTTATCCATCTATCTATTTATTCATTATTCTATATATCTATCTATATATCCATCTATCTATTCATCTATCTTCCTGTTTATTCATCTATCTATCTATCTATTCATCCATCTATCTGTTTATTCATCTATTTATCTATCT